ACCCCCAAGTAGCTTGGCAAAAGAAACCTTAGAGTTCACAATTTTAGCGGGTCCTCTTCTTGGTTTAGGTGTATCATCAGGGTCCCTGGGTTTCATATATCTCGCTTTAAGACTTTTTATAAATTTGGCAGCATTTATAGTTGGCTGGATGGCCTTCCAGGCATAGGGAACAGACTGCTGGTTCTGTAATTGGTTTAGTACACTCCGCAGACTTGTGTGTTTTACTGCATTTCACGCAGCGTGGCAAGTGGTGGCAATGAGACTTGGTGTGGCCATATGCCTGGCAATTATGGCACTGGATGAACTCTCTTTTTGTGTACGGTTTTTCGACCTTTACGCTGGTGTAGAAAATTCTATTCACATCGTATATTTTCTCGATCCCAGGCGATGGCTCTAGATCGACGAAAAATAAGGGCAATGGGATTTTATTCTTTACACCTGGTTGTTCTTTATTTTCTTTTAATACATTGGTTATCTGACGTATTTTGAACCCTAACGCCGTTAACTCTTCTTTAATCACTTCTGTTGGGGTTGAGGAGTGTAAATTTCTTATTACAACTCGTAGTGCTCTTTCCTGCCACAACTGGTGTGTGTGAAAGTCCGCGTTTGTGTCTGTTAAATATTTTACGATTTTTCGGTACGCTTCAGGTGTGGCCGGTATTATTTTTGTATCATTTGTTCTGTTTAGGCATATATAGCTACCTGGGCAGATTTTATTAAGTTGAGTACACAACAACTGGAAATTTCTCAAATTTTTGACAAAGATAGGAGGTAGGCGTGGTTCTCTGGGTATAGGTGCATCTTCCATCTCTTCCCTGTCATTTTCAAGCACCTGGTATGGATTAGGTGTAAAAAAGGGAGATTCCATTTCTTGTGAAGACGTACTAGGCAGTGGTTGAGACACAGATAGTTGAGCGTTCGCTGGAGGAGTTCCGGGGGGTGTTGATCGCTTACTGCGACGTGTTTTCTGTTTAGGCGGTGAATTACGAGGGGTAGAGCCAACTGAATGGGACCTCTTAGTTGACATTACTTGGTGGTAATATCGCATATAAAAAATAAGAAAGAGAAAAAAAAAAATAAATAAAACTACGTCTGCGTGTTCTTATAATGGATGAACCGCCGACTGTGGACCAGTCAGTTACGTGGCTGGGACACAACTGGAGTGGGGAGCCGTCAGCTGTTATGGCGATAGAGATAAAGCCTATAGACGCTAAACCACTAAATTCACTGTCTGTAATAGTACTCAGTAAATAACAACACTACTTACTGTGGTGTTAGTCCATTGTTGTTGTTTTGATGTCAGCCTAACTAGTTTTTTTTTTTTTTTAAAGTAAAACTGAGCACTTATTCTGCTAACAAATAGTAAAACTGTGGGACACGACGTGAAATGTGGGCATTCAAATCAAGCACATGCGCAGAACTGAAACAGCGATTCTAGCTTATTATTATTGTTAGACCAATACGAAAATATATACTATTACTCACTCTTTAATTTTTTATTACGTCTGCAGCCTCTACTTTCTACCATCGCAAATATTTCTTCTTTCAGAAACTTCTATTATATAAAAATTTGTTTTTTAACCCTTACACGCACATATAAGAATTGTATTCACTTTACAAATCAGATTAAGTTCAACATAATATTAAAAATTACTTTTCATCACGATAGCTCTAGTTATTCTGCCGAAGATCTATTATATATATCAAGTTTCGAAATACATATAAATAATAGATACTCCATTTCGGTCTATATATTTATCTACTTATTTTTTATTAATTTCTTATATGTGATAATATCCCAGTGAGTGTGGCATAATTCGCCAGTCATCAATCGAGATTGATATACATATCGATTCCCCCCACCATCGACTGCTTTTGACATTAGCTGAACATCAAGGTAACCGCTTTGGAAGTAGAGACTCCAACTTGGCTCGTTTTATATTCTCACTTTCTTCAAATAAAGTTAAAATCAACGTTATTATTAATTTTAACGTTAGAAGTTTATTTTTTTTATTTATGTTATTTTTTATAGACAATTCTTTATTTTCATTGAGTATTATACAGTGGTGGGTCCAGGAATTTTCTCAGGGGCAGCAAATTCCCCCACCCCTACACGTTACCCCACCACTACCCATCTCCCGCACTCCTTAGTTTCACCACTCTAAAGTCCTCTTTAAATGGTTTTAACAAAAGCAAACTCTATTTTTATTTAAAGTACATTTTATCTAGTTTACAGTGAAGTAATCGTTAATTACATGAATTAAATATTTTTTTAGTTATCACTTCCTATTCACCAAAAAACGTGACTTACTTAAACAGTCACAGAACTTAATTTCCTACTCTGCTGCTGAAAATTGAACCTTTGTTTGTATAAACTTTTTCGTGTTTCTTGAGTTTTGCTATCATTCCTTTAAATATTTATCTCTACTTACGGGACACCCTGTGTATGGGTTTGGAGTAAAAAAAAATTGCTAATACGGGTCACCGAGAGAAAACTATTTACAGCGATAAAATCCAGATTAAACGTATTCTTTAAGAAATTAAAGGACCTCAAATTGTTCGTCGAACGATTCGAACAGAAACTTAATAATTTGATTAAATAATATAGTCGATATCTACTGTCAATGAACGCTATTTTTTTAGCATCATTGTCAAAATCTGAGACAGATTACTGTAAATCACTCTGTAGCTTGGAAATGAGTTCTTTCTCTCACTCATGTATGTGCTTGAGCTAGTGGAGAGTCTGGTCATTGCCAATTATTTAAATACTACAGCTCCGAAAACACCCTGTGTATTTTTATCGAAAACACACACTATATCGAAAAACTCAAATAAGTCGAAGCACAGTGGCATAATGTTAAAATGAAGGTCATTTTGCAAATACAACAGCTCTGAAAGTCTATAAATAGACACTTATATAAAAAAAAATCCGAAAAATTCAATTAATCCAAAACGCAGTGGCGTATTTTTAAACAAAACTTTCAAACAATTTAAAGGCTATATTAATCAAAAGTATTTATGTAATTGGAAAAAGTTTATATCTATGAATATAATTCATATATTTTGCTGTGGGCATCTCGTAAATGAAACTGTAATTTATAATAGCCCGTGAGTAAAGTACTAATTGGTGGAGGTCAGCTATTTTAGTAAAATGCTCAAATTTGGAGATGCCAATATTTGAGTAAAATACTGAGAACTCGGTATTTATGTCGACATTGCCCATCTCTGGTCCATGCATACGTAACATACCTAGGAGCCGAGAAAAAAAAATTATAAATGTTTATCATTTTTTTTTTTAAATTTCTGTCTTATGACTTTGCTCTGCGTAGATTTCTAAGTTAGATAAATAGATAGAAACTATGTTTATTGTTAGCCATATTAACATAATAAAGATGTTACAAATGGGATATTGTTGATCTACGTGAAACCTGAGAGTAAAGAAAACGATAATGAATTAAATTAAATGGAAATGAGAAAGTCTTTGACAGTAAAAAACTAATGCGAAAGTCTTTCATAAAGCGATTAAGGAGATAGTATAATGCAGAGATAATAAACATTAAATAATAATCGAGCATTACTAATATACATAAAACGTGAGAATAAAGAAAACGAAAAAATGAATTAAATTAAAGAGAAATGAGAAAGTCTTTTGTAATACAGAAATAATAAGAAAATCTTTTATAAAGCAATTAAGGAGATAGTATAACGCAGAGATAATAAATATTAAATAACAATGGAGTATTACAATCTACGTAAAACGTGAGATAAAAGAAAACGAAAAATGAATTAAATGTAAAAAACAAAAGGAAGAGGAATAACATCGAGGATAGGCAGGGGAGAGCTGTTATGGATGTTTTAATAAATTAAGAATTTGGGAATATGCCAAGGATAAGTTTTGTTTGTCTGTTTTTAGATTCATTGTCTTTGGTTGAAACTGGATGTGGAGGATTTCTGAGATGAGTCGTTTGTCATGGTTAGGAACGGATGCAAGGATGGAAGTTTTGTCGAAATCAAATGTAGGGTTTAGGGAGTGAGAGTGTTCGGATAATTTGGAGGCGGTAAAATTACGAGAGGATACAGAATATTTATGTTGGGTGATGCGATCTTTTAGAATATTTTTGGTTTCACTAATATAAGATAAAAAACAATTAGGGGTAGAACACGGAATACAGTAAACGATATGAGAGCGGTGTGAAAGATCTTTTAGGGATGTGTACAGTAACTATTATTGGAGAGGCGATCGGTGGGATGTCTGGTACGTTGCCATAACAATCTGGCACGGCGTTTGGTATGGATTAGGTCAAGGATGTGTTGAGGTAATTTATTTTATTTGGAATTCTTGGGGAATGATTAGGGCAGGAAGCAATTGCTTGTTGAATGGAGGTGGTAAAGGAATGTACGGAATTATTAATGTCTTCTGGTGTTTTCAGGATTATTCTGAAGTCAATTAATTTGATCGGAAGGGATTTGATGGAAGAGTTTCTAGTTGACTGGGCCTCTGATAAAGGACGGTGGAGAGGGTTTAGGTATAGGAGCTATTGATACTTGGAATATTAATGGACTGTGGTTCACTACCGGATCCAGGATTTATTTTTGGGGAGGGGGATTCAGCCCGAAAGCTTTTTTTTTCATAAACATATTGGTAATTACTTTGGCAAAAAAGAAAGAAACTAACTACTTATATGAAATGGTGTTTAAGTGATTCCTAAACTACTCTTAAATGTAATTACACGAACAATAATACTTTAACAGATAATTTTTTAATATTTTTTTCCATAAAACATGGTTACATTTTACCATTTTGGGGAGGCTTCAGCCCCAAAGGTCCTCCCTCCCCGTAGATCCGCCCGTGCTGTGGTCTAAATAAATATTCATTGTTTTTTTTTTAAATGCTTATTCCTATGATGTAATATAATATTATGGTAATAATATCTATGACGGTACCGTTTTATGGGACATTTTAAAATAAAGTAATTTTTAAATAATCTATGTCTTTTCAGTTTCCTGGACTACAATAAAATAAGATGTATTGATGGATGGGCATTCAATGGCTCTGAAATCGCGAGATTGTAAGTTGATAACGGATTATGTTAATTTTAACTTTTCTTTTACATTAAATTTAGAGTTATGTAACATTATTTTTTTTTCCAGAAGTTTGAGAGGAAATATCGAGCTGTCTGAGTTATCGGTCGATGCATTTAATGGCATTCACAGTTTGAGAGACTTGTAAGATTTTATTTAGTACGTTTTCTTATTTGCTTTTAATATAAACTTATTTATGAACTTCAATTTTTTTTATTACTATCTTACATAATTATTGGTGTTTTCTCAGATGATTAAATTGTTTGTTTACTATTTTTCTTGGTAACACACTCAAATTGATTGATCTGTTTTTTTGTTTTGTTATTTTTTCTCTATAAATCAAATATTTTTACTATAGTTTTGTCTTTAACCAACAGCACAAGGATGGGATATCCAAGGCATAATATCGATATTTTCATGGATATTAATGTCTATAAATATAGTTACCCTCAAAATATCGAACTTGAAATATGGATCATCGATATTGTAAACATTTTTGAAATATGAATATTTTTATTTATTATTTATTTATATGATATTTACAACTGTATACAAAAAATACATCTGGTAAATTCGCATATTGGTATAAAGACATGGAACACATGTTGAGAAACTACCCATTGGTACTCTAATAGCACTCTAATAAATATGAATATGAATATAAATATTGATTCTGTAGCAAATAGGTGCATCAAAAAATATGTTATTTTCCTCTTTAAATTAATTAATGGAAATATCAATTCTTCTAGTCTCCTTAATAAAGTTTATTTTTCTAGTTCCTGTCCATCTTCGTCATCCACAGATTTTTTAAAGATATTTCCATTCAACCAATTATAATTATGCCTTCCATTTTTGAGTAACCCCTCCCCCCCAAGGTCGATAGTGGATCAACCTTCTTCTTCCCTTTCCAAGATATTTTATTACTCTCCTCTTGTAGTGCAATCTCATAGTACAAAGAAAAGTAGAATATGAAAATTCTTTGATTATATTCAATTGCAAATCCTGCGGTTTGTTCCATGCTTCCACTAGTCTTTTGATTTGAAATTTCTCATTTTAAAAATTCATACCCTCGTCGAATGAGCCGTCTCAAAAATACAAAATCCAGTCAAAATGTGCCCACCTCACAAATGTTGATACGCAACTTGCACCCTTCTGGGCACCACAGGTTCTATTCACCCATAGATCGGATTCAGCGAAATGCTGATTTATTTGTATCCTACATAGATTCCTTATATAATTCGTGACCTTGGTTTGAGAAGGTTCTAACTAACAAATTTAAGCAAATTCAATTTACTGAGTAAGAAGGGTCTTACTTATGCGCGCGCTATTCATTCTACTTGAGAATCCTACATTATCGAATCATCGATATTTTCATCTAATACGCAGTAAATTCTATACGAAACAGGCAAGATGAGTATAATTTTTTTCTGACGATCAGATTCAAATATAATTTCTAGGACTTTCCGAAAAAAATAGTGTAAACTTTTATTTTTAAATTAAAGTATCGAAGGGACGATATCGATAGTGGATAATATCAAAGTAGGTACTATCCATGGTAAAATATTGAATATCTGTAGAAAAATTTTTGATTATATCGACTGTCGATAGCAATCCCTATCAAAATCTAACATCAAATGTTACCACAAATTGTACAGCTTGGAACATGTGATGGATAAGGCCCAGTACAAGACCAGGTTAAAAGTCCAGGTTTAATTCTCTAAAACAAGTGATTTGGCCTGAGAACACAATCAATTTCATATTTTTAAACAGACTTGCTTAAATCTATTATAAAGATTGACAAAATAAACTATGAACTGACAAAAGAAGATTAATTCATACAACGTTTTGTTCGTATAATTTTTCTTTAATTTTGGCTATTACTTCTTAATTTTTTTTCTATTATATTTTCTACTATATTTTTTTATTAGTGTTTACATAGTAAATACTATTAATTCTATTTAGATTCCTATTTCAGAAATTTGTGAATAAAATATTGATGTCAATTTCATTTATCTACTTTGTACCAGTGTTGGGCATTTACTCGAGTAAATGTCCAACGGTGACGTCACGAGTCTCACAAATTTACTCATAAAACATTTTTCCTCCATGAGTAAATCACTCGTGAAAAATGTTATCTCCATGAGTAAATTACACATGAAGCGTTTTAACGTTATGAGTAATTTTGAAAAAAAAAATGTTTTTATTTTATTTAATCTAACTTTTTTTTGTCACCTTTCGGATTTATTCGATAACAGGGTCGACTATTATGATTTGAGGGGCACTTTTTATGAAAATAATATCAAATTTGAGATTGGGCCTCCCGGGCCTCGACTTTTTTTAACTTTTCGGATTAAATCGATATCAGGGTCGACTTATATATTTTGGGGGGCGCTTTTCATGAAAATCATATTCAATTAGAGATTGGGCCCTCCGAGCATCGACTTTTTGTAACTTTTCGGATTAAATCGATATAAGGGTCTACTTATACGTTTTGGGGGGCGCTTTTTTTGAAAATGCTGTCGAATTTGAGATTGCACCCCCGGGCCTTGACTTTTTGTAACTTTTCGGATTAAATCGATATCAGGGCCGACTTATATGTTTTTGGGGAAGTTTTTTATGAAAACGATATTCAATTTGAGATTAGGCCACCCGGGCCTCGACTTTTTTTAATTTTTCGGATTAAATCGATATCAGGGTCGACTTGTTATTTGTAACTTTTCGGATTAAATCGATATCAGGGTTGACTTATATGTTTTGGGGGACGCTTTTTATGAAAATAATATCAAATTTGAGATTGCACCCCTGGGATTTTTTTTGTAACTTTTCGGATTAAATCGATATCAGGGCTGACTCTTATGTTTCGGGGGGGGGGCGCATTTTTTGAAAATGCTGTCAGATTTGAGATTGCACCCCCGGGCTTTGACTTTTTGGATTAAATCGATATCAGGGTGGACTTTTTTTATACATGTTTTTGGGGACGTTTTTTATGAAAACGATATCCAAACTGAGATTGGGCCCCGCGGACCTTGACTTTTTGTAACTTTTCGGATTAAATCGATATCAGCGTTGACTTATATGTTTTGAGGTGCGTTTTTTATGAAAATGATATCCAATCTGAGATTGGGCGACACGGGCCTCGACTGTTTGTAACTTTTTGGATTAAATCGATATCAGGGTCGAGTTATATATTTTGGGGGTCACATTTTATTAAGAATGGTATCCAATTTGGGATTGGGTCCTCTGGGCCTCGCCTTTTTTAAAATTTTCATTTTAAATCGATATCAGGGTCGACTCATATGTTTCGGAGGAAGCCCCAAAAGGCGCGATCTCAAATTCGACAGCATTTAAAAAAAATGCGCCCTCCAAAACCTATAAGTCTACCCTGACATCGATTTAATCCAAAAAGTTACAAAAATTCGAGGCCCGGAGGGCGCAATCTCAAATCTGACAGCATTTTCAAAAAATGCGCCCCCCCGAAACATAAGAGTCAGCCCTGATATCGATTTAATCTGAAATGTTAAAATAAGTCGAGTTCCGGGAAGCCCAATCTCAAATTTGATATAATTTTCATAAAAAGCGCCCCCCAAATCATAATAGACTACCCTGACATCAATTTAATCCGAAAAGTTAAAAAAGTCGAGGCCCAGGAGGCCCAATTTCAAATTGGACATCATTTTTATAAAAAGCTCCCCCTAAAATATAAGATTCGACCCTGATATCGATTTAATCCAAAAAGTTGAGGCCCAGAGGGCGCAATCTCAAATTCGACAGCATTTTTTAAAAAAGCGCCCCCCGAAACATACGAGTCGACCCTGATATCGATTTAATCTGAAAAGTTAAAATAAGTCGAGTTCCGGGGGACCCAATCTCAAATTTGATATAATTTTAATAAAATGCGCCCCCCAAAATATATAACTCGACGCTAATATCGATTTAATCCGAAATTTACAAAAATTCGAGGCCAAGGAGGGGGGGCAATCTCAAATCCGACAGCTTTTTCAAATTCAAGGGCCCCCAACGCCCGGAACTCGACTTATTTTGACTTTTCATAATTAATCGATATCAGGGTTGACTCTTATGTTTTGGGGGAGCGCATTTTTCGAAAATGCTGTCGGATTTGAGATTGCGCCCTCCGGACCTCGAATTTTTGTAACTTTTCGTATAAAATTGAGTAATTTAAAAAAAAAAAATGTTTTTATTTTATTTAATCTAACTTTTTTCGTCACCTTTCGGATTTATTCGATAACAGGCTCGACTATTATGAATTGAGGGGCACTTTTTATGAAAATAATATCAAATTTGAGATTGGGCGACACGGGCCTCAAATATTTGTAACTTTTCGGATTAAATCGATATCAGGGTCGACTTATATATTTTGGGGGGCGCTTTTCATGAAAATCATATTCAATTAGAGATTGGGCCCTCCGAGCATCGACTTTTTGTAACTTTTCGGATTAAATCGATATCAGGGTCTACTTATACGTTTTGGGGGCACTTTTTTTGAAAATGCTGTCGAATTTGAGATTGCACCCCCGGGCCTTGACTTTTTGTAACTTTTCGGATTAAATCGATATCAGGTTCGACTTATATATTTTGGGGGGCGCTTTTTATGAAAATCATATCCAATTAGAGATTGGGCCCCCTGCGCCTCGACTTTTTTTAACTTTTCGGATTAAATCGATATCAGCGTCGAGTTATATATTTTGGGGGTCGCTTTTTAGTAAAAATGGTATCCAATTTGGGATTGGGTCCCCTGGGCCTCGCCATTTTTAAAATTGTCATATAAAATTGATATCAGGGTCGACTCTAAGTTAATAAAAGTCGAGGCCCGCGGGGCCCGATCTCAAATTTGATATAATTTTCATAAAAAGCGCCGCCCAAATCATAACAGTCGACCCTGATATCAATTTAATCCGAAAAGTTAAAAAAGTCGAGGCCCAGGAGACCCAATCTCAAATTGGATACCATTTTCATAAAAAGCGCCCCCCAAAACATATAAGTCAACCCTAATATCGATTTAATCCGCACAGTTACAAAAATTCGATGCCCGGGGGGGGGGGGGGGCAATCTCAAATCCGACAGCATTTTCAAATTGAAGGGCCCCCCGGAATTCGACTTATTTTAACTTTTCAGATTAAATCGAT